AAAAAAAACCCCAAACTATTGAAGCCTCTACCACATACCAATGCGATAAATGCTTTAAAATGATTTGCAAATAGAAATATTACAATCCTGCCACCTGCTGGCCAAAATAAATCCCTGCTGAAAGTCAGCACAATTGTATTTATTATGTAAGTTTTTCACAGTATTGTAAAAGAAATTGGCAAACCTTTTTCAAACACAAGAGAATAGACTAAGGCTAGGTTCACACCTATGCAATTTGCGTTTGATCCGTTTCTGTAGTGCATTTTGCAGTGTGTTTTGTGTTTTTTTTACTGCATTTTGTTGCTGGGCAGATTAAAGCGAATCAAAAACACATAAAAAAAGCATAAAAAATGCACTACATGCTTTTCTGCAGCTTCTCCATTGAAGTCCATAGAACCAAAAACTCATGTTTTGCATTTAAAAATCCATAACCCTTTCCAAAAAATGCACCATGTGAAAGCGTGAACCTGTCCCATGGGAAATCATGTTAAATGGACTGCTGTGCATTTCTGCAAAACTGTGATCCTAGACTTAGGGATACTCTGCTCCACTCTGCCTTACTTGTATTTAAAATAGCCACATAAAATTAACTCCATTATAGGTTAATTTAAACCCTTTTTAGGACAGGTACAGGTAAAGAATCATGGTATGTTGTTCTGGTGTATGGCCATTCTATGTCTTTAGCTGTATACATAGTAGATCTGAAACTAAAGCAGTGTCACTTTATCAGCATCATGGGACCCTGGCCAAAGTGATGCACTTGGGCCCCTACCAGAGAGATGGTGACTTGTGACATGCATAGCGTGCAGCGGCACACAGTGGGTGTGGCTAAATTATGCCACATTATGGGAGTGGCTTTTAGTCTGATTAGAATTTTTTGTCTGATTCTTTGCACTTTTTAATTATATGTTTACAATTTTTAATTTTTTTAAATGTTTAATTGATTTTAATAATTTTGTAAATTTTTTTCACAACACTGTGTGTGTATGTGTGTTTGGAGGAGGGGGAGGGGGAGGGGGGGTTGGTGAGATATCAAGGGTCTAAACAGACCCCTGAGGTCTCGCTTTTGAGTCAGAGAAAGGGACTGAGGACACATTCCCCAATCCCTTTCTCTGTAGCCTCCGATGAATGAACAGATGAATGCAGATGAATGAATAGGACACAGAGGCTCCTGTCCATTCATAAACTGAAGCATAGCAAACACAGTTTTACCGATCAGTACCGATCATGCACTGTGTTCACATAGGGCCAGTTCACACCACAAAAAAGCACTCAGGATGCATTCTGGTTATGTTTTTGCTTACAGTTCACACCACACTCTGTTCCGGTGCATTTTGAGGCAGTTTGCTATGTTCCAGTACAGTTCTGTGCAGAAAAAATGCAGCATGTTCTACTTTTTTTTTTCATCACCGCAAACTGACTGAAACTGACTGCACTAGTATGAACTAGGGCCATTGGAATACATGGAAAACACTGTGCATGTATTTTTGATGCAGAAAAAAATGCACTGGACTGCATCTAGTGTGAACTAGCCCTTAGAAAAGGAAGGGGGATAGTAAATTATATATTTACCGCCAGCCCTTTTCCTGCTCTCCGTCCTGGAGATCTCCCTGTGTGTCTGTTGCCGGTGGGAGAGGAAAGGAGGGAATCTGGTGAGGGGAGTTGGGGTGCCAGGAAGACAGAGAAATCTGATAGTAATCAGTGCAACAAGTGGGAGAAGTAACTGAAACTGATCTTTTGTGTTTCTCATTGCAGCAGTTGGAACAGAAGATGTTGGCTTTCAGCTGCTGCATTGAGAGCCACAAAAGATCAGTTCTAGTTATTTCCCCCACCTGTTGTACTGACCACCCGCTCTATCCACACACAATCCCCCCTGTTGGGGGGGCGCTGTTTTCAGGGGTGCTTGTGCAAACAGACAACCCTGCAGAGGAGGAATACTCGCATGATACTTCTGCATTAAAGTAAATGTAAACCCTAACTAAATGACATTACATTTTATCATAAACCATTGACATAAAAAATATATTTTTGTATTTACCATACACTTTTTTTCTTTGAGTCTATTGAGGGACCCAGGAATGCAAAAAGAGTCGTGTCATATTGCCCCTTCGAGGAGGTCAGGACAATGGCAAACAAAAAAGGTTGCAAGCCAGCCCCTTATAAGCCCTCGTCTACCAGCACGCCTCAGTTTAGAGGGTAATCAGTGCACAGGGCTAGAAAAATGCAAAAGGAAGGGACCTATTTAAGTAAAAAGATCTTATTTTCTCTAATGTCCATTGAGGGACACAGGAATTCAGAAATAATTGAGACTTCCAAAATCAGTCCATATGAGAGATGGACAACAGCCACTGACAGGCCCAAGAAGAATTTAGTACTTCATGTTGCACTACCCCCCTCATTTCATCTTCCACCCAACACTGACTTCTGCCCTCTAGGCTCTAATATATCTGAGGGTTGCCTTGGTCACCATGCCCATCTCCCCTACAGGGGATTGGCTAAGGTCCCTCAAACATGCATATCTGGGCCTCTTCCTCTCCACTCCGTGGCAGAAGTTTTTCACTCTCTAGAAAGGTGGGAGGGCTCCAGAAGCCCTGATCTATTAGAGCCTCCTAGCCTGTCTTGAGTTGAACTCACTACCTCACTTCCAGGCTGACTCATCCCAGGCTTTACCCCGCCTCTGTGTAAAAAAGAAAAAAAAACAACCAGCCTGTCTGGCTAACTTGAAAGGTGTTACATTCACATTTCAGAAGTAAAAGTTTGAAGAGCCAAAGCCCTCTACAACACAGGGGAATCTCTCTACTAAGGGGAGGGCACAGAGGATCTACTCAGTGCTCTCAGCCAGGACAGAGAATTACCAGCAAGGGGAAGCTGTTACCTGGAGAACAAGCAAGAGACTGGAAACACAACTGTAGCACTACCCCCTTAGGGGTTGCTGATGAATTTGGGTCCCCCTATAGTCCTGCACAGCCAGTCAGTTAGCATTTTCCACTTAAGCTTTCTTTCGAACACAGAGATCAGGCTTTGAGTGCTGATTTTGTTATTTTATTGAGGGGATTAAACTTGGAGAGGGTAAGGGCTGTATAGGATGCCCAATGGAACCAAAATCTGAGTACAACTTCCTGAACTATTCACAGTTTCTCTTCTCTGATTCATTCTCTGTTGAAGTGCTAGCCAGCAGCTCCAGTTGTGCCACCCCAGACCCTAGATAAACTCCTCTTCACCCGGCAATCTGGAGTCTTTCTTCCTGAACAGGGGATCTAGCTCCTGTTCCCTTAAGTAAGGTGTACAGTCACTAGCAGAGGGCTAATCTGGTTTCCCACCAGAGTGCTCCTTCCCCTATCCGCCCAAGGGGTGCAGGTGTACTCACTCAGAACCTTTCCTGTACCACTTGCACAATAGCTGCTGTTACCAGGCCTATTAACTGGGCTGCTCCTTCCCTGCAATACAGGTGGTCTTTTCTCAAGGTCCAGTGAGTCCTGAGTTTTCCTCCTTTCCAGCTCCAGGCTCGCAGGCAGGCCCCATCCCACTAGGCCTCTAGGCAGTCTTCCATTTCCAGCCTCACATCTTCCTGCTCCATACTCCTCTCCCATCACCATCCTCCTGCTACTGAGCAGGCTCCAACACTTTTAAGGGAGTCCAGCCCCTTGCCAAGCCTCCTTTTAGAATTTGGCTGAAGTCCCTCAAGAGAGTAGCCAGCCACTTCTTAGATCAACTCACTGCCTCCATGGCCCTCCTCCGAAAGCCTCAGAGCAGGGGGAATTTCCAGAGGGGCTGACCTGGAGAGTCTCTCAGTCCTGACCAGAATTTGACCCCTCTGACTATCTCACCTGAGCTGCTAATCAACTCATCACTAGCCATTAGGGTCTAGCTCCCCCTAGATAAACTAGGAGGGTGCTAAACAACCAACAATCCACCAAAAGACAGACAGAGAAAAACACACTTGGGAGATTTACTAAAACTGGAGCACAAAGAATCTTGTGCAACTGTGCATTGTAACCAATCAGCTTCTAGGTTTAATTGACAAAGCTTAATTGAACAAAATTATGTTAGATGTTGATTGGTTACTATGCACAGTTGCACCAAATTCTCCCCCCAGACTGACAATGCTGCTGTCCCAAAGTATCTCTGTTGCTCCTTAATCCAGAGTGGGGGCACTCTAATACAGGAGGTGTGTTACTGGCCAGATCACCAGGTGAAAACAGAGGGTGAAAAAAGCCTAAAAAAAGAAAACTAATGCAGTCACCACATCTATTGATTGGTAATTTGCAGTATATTCTTTTTTTTTGTTTCAATACGGCATTAAGCACCACCATAGAGGGATCCACAATGTCTGCCCTCTTTCCTTTGCTGGATGGTTTTGGTTGGCCATGCCTCTGTATAAATCTGTCAGTAACATATAATGGAATCTACATTATTCATGTTAACATAGTCCCATGGGCACTACCGGAGCATCTCAGTCTACCATTTCCTCTAAATCCTCCTCAGGCCTTACAACATAGCATAGCAACTTTCCCTCCCCAGAAGGGAGCAAAGGAAACCCTAAGGACCAGGGACGGACTGACAACTCAAGGGGCCCCCTGGCAATAGGGGATTATGGGGCCCCTGTGTCCTTGCCCAAGATCAAAAAAGCCTATGAAAAAGGTACCATGGGCATCTCATGGGGCCCCCTACTGACCCCGGGCCCTTGGGCAGTGTCCGAGTTTCCAAATGGTCAGTCCGCCCCTGCTAAGGACACTCTTCCTCAGCAGTTCCAGTTCCCTACAATTTTGAAAAACAAATAATATTTTTGACTTTTTGCTATAAAACATATCCAGTAAAAAAATTTAAAATATCAAATTATCTCATAAATTTAGGCCAAAATGTATTCTGCTACATTGCTACAAAAAATCCCAAGACGTGTAAATTAATTGGTTTCCATGAAAGTTATAGTGTCTACAAATGGTGATATATATACTGGAATTTAAATTTTTATTTTTTTTTATACTAGTAATAGCGGCGAACAGTGACTTATAGCGGGACTGAGGGACTGCGGCGGGCATTCTGACACACGGGGGGGGGGGGGGGGGCGGCTGACAAACTGCCACTGATATCCCCAGTGACACTATTACAGTGATCAGTGCTAATAAAAAGCACTGACACTGTACTAATGACACTGGGCAGGAAGAGGTTAACATCTGCGGTGATCAAAGGGTTAACTGTGTGCTGTTTTACTGTGTGTTGTGTGTATTTTACTAGGGAAACATGCTGCTGTGTATTTCTCTGCTGTGCACTAATACAATACAAAGCAGCATGTCCATGCTGGCAGAAGAGAGACCTGTGTTGTTTACACACAGGTCTCTCCCCTGTCAGTGTTACTCGGCGATCACTGGGTGCCGGCAGGGAATCTCCGGCCAGGACATCTGTAGCCGCCTATGGCGGAGCAGGTAGGGCGGGACGTACGCCCCCTACCTGGGAATACGAGTCACGTACAGTATATACTGTGTACTTCTGCTATAGGGCGGAGGGGAAGCAGTTAAAGCAACTATGCAAATGAACTAATTACATTGTATTCCTGTCTGTCATTAGGTAACAATATTACACCCTGTGTGAATAACCAGCATACATATACCATTTTACTGGTTTTCCTGAGCTGCATTTTATTGTGCTAAAGTGCAGTGAAACTAAACTCAGAATAAACTGGTTGCAGATAGTCTTAGCCCGCATTCACAGCTGAGCAGATTTCTGGTTCTTTTGAAGCATTTTTCAGGATTTTACAAGCATTTTTGTGCATGTATCAAGCTTCAGGTGTTTGTTTCTTGGGCTAGGCAAGGGTGGGAAAACAAAATACGCCCTAAAATGCACATATTGTGTGTTTGCAGGCACTCCCATTGGCGTCTATGGGACCACAAAAAATGGGAGTCTATGGGACCAGTTCAACTGAGTGTGGTCTGCCTTAAGCAGGGAAAATCATTATGGAATATTAAATTTGGCCACTAGATGGAGCCTGGAATAAATTTACTGTTTTCCAGAAACCAGTATCTATTTGGTTAATAAAAACTCCCATCATCCCTTCCTTCTCAGAAAAGGAAACAGGTGCATCCTGGGAGCTCAGGCTCCATTTGAAGAACTGAGGGAAAAGAACCAGCCATAATTCTCTGCAGCACATGTTGTGGACTGAACTTACATCCCCAAAGGCAGCATCGCTGGTGAGCATGGACTTATTGCCATCTACAGCCTAACCATTTCATTGTGTTTGTATATTTTACATATTGATTATATATACTTCCTATCTGCTTTTTCTAATAGTTTCACCCACCCTGTTGTGTTAATAAAGCTTAAAGATTATATTCAGTCTGGCTCATTGCAGAATAGGAGGGTTTAGCTGCATGCTGAGTTACACTCAGGGAAACGTGTAGCAAGGACAGACCAGAGTGTACACATATGAAAAAGAACAGCTATAAAGAATGAGATTCTGCTTGTTAAGCGTAGTCAGGCATTGTCAGTCATAGCTAGGAGTAAAGAAATGAGCGGGGGCCTATAGAGAATTTTTCACAGGGCTTTTTTTTTCCTCAGAGAATAGGTGCAGGTACTTCCCCTTCTGAGACACTCCTTGTCTCTGCCCCCTACCGAGCTCCCTCCATTCGTTCAAAACAGAACCAAGTATAATTTTGTGCTGTTAAGTCATTTGCATGGAATTTGTTAATGATAACAAGAAAATCAGTAAAATAGATCCGCTGCAGCCTGCAACAATAGCCCCCCCATCAATAGATCTCCCCTGCAACAATCAATCCCCCACCAGCAATAGTAGCTTGCTCCAGCAACAACAGACCCCCTGCAACCAAACGCCCACCCCCAGCAACAATAGATCAACCCCAAGGAACAATAGACCCCCACCAGCAAAAATAGATCTTCTAGTAGCCAGCATTATTAGACCTTCCAGCAGCTAGAAATAAAAGACCCATCCCTCAACAGTAGATATCTCCCAGCAACAATATCCTACCCAGAAACAACAGACCCCTTGCGACAATCGCGGCATCAGATTTCAGCCCTTCACACCAAACTCGTGACCGAAGGGCTAGCCAATCTAAAACCGCGATGTCACATGCGTAACAATGCCACGCCCAGCTGCACCCTACACAACGATTTTCCAGCTAATGGACCACAATCGATGTACCGACAGCCTGAGCGCGATTGTTACTGGGTCAGGTTAATTACGCAACTAACCCTTCACACTGCCACCACCTCCTTTTTGTGCAGAGAAAGAGGAAACTCGGCAATATCAGCAATAACACTATGATGGTTGAAATAATCAACTGTATACCACTGTCACCGCAGGCAGGTTATACAGAGGGTTAAACACACACAGTAGCGCTCTTCCAAGGCAGGAATTCGTAATTTGCATTAAAAAGCTTTAGAAACAGTTCAACACTTTCAGAAAGTAAGATTTATTACTAAAAGGTCAAAAGGGTGCAATAAAAATATTTACAGAAAAAGATGTAGCGAATATATATATAAATATACAGAGAACAATAGCACAGCAAAGAGATAACAGAAAGGAATTTAGAGGGTTGAAGTACTTGCCAGTCAGCCTTGGTGTAAGCAGCTTCTAGTTTCATAAGTCAAAAGGATTTCTTGTCTCTACTGTCAGTTTCGATGTTAACACAGGAGACTCTTCTTTTCTCTCTCACACACCCCACTCCAAGCATAACAGCCCTTTTCTAAGATCTCAGCAGGGTGTCTCCTTACAGTAGTAAACTAATCGTCTCCTTTTGGGGAGGGAAGTGTAGGTGGAGACTTAAGTTATGTTTAGAAACTCTCATAGCTTCTATTTTGGCCCATAACTTTTTCTCGGGGCATTTAGCAGTCTGGCCACTAGTATATTAATACTCAGCCGCATCTGCGGAATGGTTATTGATGAAACATGTCATATCTACTTGAATGGTTCAGGAGATATAATTTTCTGCTTTTCTATATATGCCAGCTAAGGGGTGTAAACTATCAGAAGAATGGTCTCAAATTAAGCCGTCTGGGCTCCATGTTTAGGTAATTATGTCCTATGTGAAGATATCAACTTATATGAAAAAGTGAGTTTTTAAAAGTAAGTCTGTTTTTACGACCCCTTGGAAGGTCTTTTGACGTTCAGTGAGGGACTTGGTTTACACTTTTACGATATCCCAGATTGCACAGCTAACAGACAGCTAGGCACCTAGCTGGTGAGGTTTTTTAGCCAGGACGCCCTCCCACTGGATTTCGATGCCTTTTTGAACTCTGCATCAAACAGACCACATGTCACTCAACAGAGAGGGAGGGGGATGAGGAAAGAAGGAGAGAGATATATGATTGTACAAGATGGACGGTCCTTTGCCAAAATGGAGGTTCGTATCCGTCTCTGTGTGCACGATTGCTATACCCCCCAGCAATAATGGACACCTCCCTAAACAATGATCCCCTCCAGTGACAATAGATCCCCCAGAAGCCAGCATCAATTGACCCTTCAGCACACCTTATCATTACATACATTCAGTGCTAGAGGTGTCAGAACTGCGTTCCCCTACATTACCGCTGAAAAAGGCCCTGCTTTTGCATCACTCTCTTCTTTCTAAAGTCCTGCAGTTGCCTTTTCTTCCCTTGGAAGCAACAGAGCTGTATGGACAATACTGACTGAAACACATATCTCTCGCTATGATGCTAACCCAGACGGATTTCCATGTTGCTACTGAATTCAGCCTTTATTTGGCCTGCCATATACCAAAATAGACATTTAAAAAAAAAAACTTTTTTTGATGTTATGCAAAACTCAGCATGATTCATGCTAATTGTATGTTGGAAGAACCATGATATGTTCCACTTGGTCACTCTTATATAATAAAGCTGTCTCTTTTGATAGATCCAAAAGCAACTATTCTTTTAATAAGCTTCAAGGGTATTGTTATCTAGCCAAGAGAATAGGGTTATTTTAAAAAATGTTTTCAATGGCTATGCAAAGTCTTCACAAATATTTCTCTCTCTATATTGTTTGGGACAGTCTGAGGACCTGTCATTGTTGTCAGTGGCTGCAGAGCCAAGGAGCCAGGGTCCCAGATGCACATGATGTGTTGCAGTCAATAGCCCTCTCCAGCGACAGAAGAAGTAGGATACCATGGCAATACAAGAACAATGTGCTGCAGGTTTCTTTGACAACAAGAGATGAAAATGATTCACTGTTCATCCAGCTATATATAGAAGCTGAAGCCACTGCATGTCCTTGCTACATTATAGAAGGAAGCGTCAATCATTTGTAATATCAGTACTTTTCCGAGACTAAATTTGCTAAAACTTTGATGGAGGAAATGAAATATCCCTTTCATGACACTTTTATTTTTAAGTTATCCTCAAGGGAGAACTGTCACGAAACAGTACATTGGAAGCCCTGCCTTTAATGCTACATACTTCAAGTTAAAGTTTTAGTTGAGCATGAACAAAATTTGCATTCAACATGGCCAACACGCTGAGAGCTCCAGGTTTTACCTGACATACATCTAGTGCATTTGATTGCTCTGCTAGATTGCTTTAGTTGATCTTCTGCATGGTCTTTAATGTTAGCATGTTAGCACTGCCCATTCTATAACTTCACTGTAGATTCACACACTCACACTGGGCTTTATAGAATTCTAGGTATGGCTATTTTATCTAGCGTGGTCCAATGTAACTATGCATATACTGTAGCTGGCTGATTGCCCTGTAAGCCAGAAATCACTGTAGAAGGCATCTCCTCTACAGTGAGCTCTACTAGCTTCTAGATACAGTGTAAGGTGCTGTCCTACTGCATTGTGAACACAGAAAGTCGCCCACTTGGCACTGGTGCCATTCAGAAATGTATTTAAATTTTCTCACTGAATGCAAAGCTTTTTATGATTGGATGAAGTGGGCAGGCAGGGTGGTGACATCACAATCTCCATGTGGCACCTTCCTAGTTGGGTGTTAATAGATACACTATATTGACAAAAGTATTGGGATGCCTGCCTTTACATGCATATGAACTTTAATAGCATCCCAGTCTTAGTCCGTAGAGTTCACTATTGAGTTGGCCCACCCTTTGCAGCTATAACAGCTTCAACTCTTCTGGGAAGGCTGTCCACAAGGTTTAGGAGTGTGTCTCTGGGAATGTTTGACCATTTTTCCAGAAGCACATTTGTGAGGTCAGGCACTGATGTTGGACAAGAAGGCCTGGCTTGCAGTCTCCACTCTAATTCATCCCTAATGTGTTCTGTTGGGTTGAGGTCAGGACTCTGTGCAGACCAGTCAAGTTCCTCTACCCCAAACTTGCTCATCCATGTCTATGGATCTTGCTCTGTGCACTGGTGCACAGTCATGTTGGAACAGGAAGGGGCCATCCCCAAACTGTTCCCACAAAGTTGGGAGCATGAAATTGTCCAAAATGTCTTGGTATGCTGATGCCTTAG